TCTCTCTCTCTCTCAAACTTCAAATTTATTCCTTCTACAATATGTACTTGTTTTAAAAAAAACAGTCCTCACGGTGGCGCGCATGCATTTTCGATCCCCATTGTGGTTTACAGAAGCGCGGAACAATGTGAACGGTGTCCACGATAGTGTCGGTTGAAACGACAGTGTTGTGCTGATGTCCATTCGCCTTCTTCCATTTCAATTCCTTGCAACCTGTCACGTGTTCTCGTTCACTGTCAACCTCTGTGTACCACTGCACAAAAGCGCACTTGTGTTCCACATTACCGCCGTCTGTGGGTACATCGACGACGAAAAACATGGTCACTGATGCGAACCACGTACATTCGTTGGCTGCTCTTATTGCGACGTCGCTGTGCACTGGTCTCCCGTGGAACCGCGGCGACGCTCGTGCAGTTTGAACAAGTGTGCCCCTGTTTGTTCCGTCCTGCGTGCAAGCGATGGCGAGATGTGTTCGTGTGTGTATAGCGAGATCATCAGGAGGAGGTTGACAACCATTCTCCGCCATGTACGTCGTAATCGCTGCTCGAAAATCGGTTCTGAAAGGGAGCTCTTCAAGTATCTTACACGCATCACTGTCAATGCCTTCCACCTCGCATATCTGGTCCTGATCGATGTCGAACCAGTGCAGTTGAAGGATTGACGTATCGCGTAGTGCCAGGGTGTTCATCCCCGTTGCCATACAGTCCGTCACAGAAGACCTATTCTCGACGGCCCTCTTCCTCCTTTTCCTCACAAATCCGGTCTCCTCCTGCAATGCCAGCGACCGGCGCACGTGGTTGACCATTTGGGTTGACGCTTTCCTTTTGTTCGATGACATGTACGGTTGTTTGCAGAATTTCTTGTGGTGATGCTCCCAAACGTCTGCAGCGAATGTGTTGGCCACACCAGATCGCTCAATACTTGTTCTCATATGCATAAGATCATGCAACTTTGGGAGTTTCCAATTTGATGGTTGGTATCTTCCCAATTTCGCTTTGATGGTCGTTACAAACTCCGTCATCAACGCGTCACATTCGTCGAGGGAAGCTCGAGTGTGTGCTGTGCGCCGAAACAACCGTACGTACATTTGCATCAGCTTAACAAAACAAGCGGTAATGCCCTTGCCTGTCGAGCGCGGGATTATATTAAAAATGAGGAACACKCACACTGTCATCACAGACCGGTTTTGCTTCRCCTCGAAGCGTCCCTCTCGAGAAAARAAATCGYTGCCTGTGGCCACGGGCAGCACAAGTTGGGGATATGTTCGCGTACATCTCTCACTAATGCATTGCAATCTCGCATCGAGTTCCTTCAGGATCTCTGTTTGCGGTGTGTTCGGCAACTTCTCAAAGGCTGCCGCCCTGAATGCGTCGATCATGTGCAGGAATATGCCGTGTTCGATCGTGTGCATACGGTATGGTTGCAATGCGAGGTGGTAGTCAAGCTGAGGATCATCGCCACTCGGCCCCCTGTAGAACCCCCAAAGGCCGTTCTGTTCAACATGCCTATGCATGTCCAACTCCGCCATTCGCCTTTCCGCCTCACGGCGCACGTCATCATCGTCCGCCGTGAACACATCTGCTGCGAGTTGAGTTTCCAGCATCTGGGATCTCCTGCTGTCCGTGAAATCGGCCACGACATCGAGGTCCGTTTTCGACACGGTGCATGTAGGGCATACACCAAAATTCACATTCGCCAGCGCACATCGCTCTGGGTAGTCCTGTATATAGTTGAGGAGGAAAGGGTGGACAGTCACGTCCCCGAATCGCGTCAACGGTATCGTGATGCCGTCGTGCGATGCCTCCTTCGCAGCTTGCAAGACTGTCGAAAGGGCCTTGTGGAAGATGACGGCCTTTCGCTTCCTGAATGCGGTGGATTGTAGACCCCATCCTTTGTCACGGGGTCGATGATGAAGCACGGGAAGATAGGCCAGCAGAGTGGCTTCCGACGCGTGGTCGGCTAGCGACATCATAAGAGGGTATGCCGTCTGTTTCTGACGACCGTCTGTGTGTGTCTTGTCGGAGTACAGTGAGAGAGGGATTACATATCATGAATATCCATTCTCGTCGACACCTTTGTGCGCTCGAATGATTGACTGCGTGTGATAACTGAGCGCCCCGCTGCGCGGACCGGATACACTGTTGTCCTCCGACGGCGGGGACACCTCGAGGGAATGAACCGTCTCGCATTTCTGCAACTCGACGTGCATTATCAATAAGAATGTAGTTCGCCAATCGCGGTGCCACAAGACGGCTTGCGCTTCTCAAGGCTAGTCGTCACTACGCAGATCCAACTCCTTCCACCCAGCGGCCACTGCTAGACTGCCCGCCCATGCGAAGCACTCTCGATTGTTGCGGTACGCAATGTCCGTCGCGCTGAATCTCGGGTCTTTGAGAAGTGACAAGAGAGCATCAACGTCCGTATGTGACATACCGACGCCACCCCTGGTGGAGAAAATAAGCGCTGCTAGCCTGCGCGAGCTGTCAAAAGGCTCGACGGGTTGCGCTGCCGGCTCTGCGTTATCACCGGCTGCCCCATTCGCGTCGTCCTCCGCCCCCGCGTCCTCGCTCTCATCACCAGCGAGATTGGTTGCGCCTATGTTGGATGGTCCCGGGTCGTGGGCAACATCATTCTTCTGCCTTTGCGCTCCCTCATCCGCCACGGCGGGGCATGCCCTCGCACGATGCGAGTTTAAAGTCCGTAAGGACATGAAAGGTCTGCCGCAGTCGCACACCCGTGGACCGCTGTCCATTTCCTGTGTACGCAGTGCATTCCAAAGACAAACAGAGCGAAGCGGACAGTGCTTCGTTAGCATTTTAGACATATGGTCGGGGCATGTGCACTACATAATGCTGACTATGTTTTCTTATGCAGTGTGAGTGTTGCACGTTGTGGAAAATGCGTCTAAGCATGTGTTTTCCACATATCCGTCGTAATCAGTAAGATTGCCCATACGAGCCAAGCTCTGACTCACTTTCCCGGACGTGCACACTACCTTCAAGATAGAGACTCGAGATCGGGCGAGCAGGAAAAAA